GGGCAGAAAACCGCCGCGCGCCTCGGGGCGCACGGCGGGCTGAAAAACCCTAATTTCGACGCCGCGCACCACGGGGCGCGCGGCGGACAGGGAGTAGCAGTAGCAGCGGAAGCAGTGAGGTGGGGCCCACAGGCCAGGAGCATATCGCTCTAATACCATGTGAAAGTAAGCAGTAGAAGAAGGCGCCATAGCTAGGAAAGCCCTAGCTAGGCAAGAAACAGTTTAGGCAAAGAAGGAGGAGTTGCACTAGCAAGAATGAGGATACAAATAGCAAACCCTAGAAGGGTTGTACTCGCTATAGAGCACCCCACTACAGGCTAGAGCATAATATTCTGACAAAAGAATGAATGTATCGCGAAACTTGGCGACCAGGCGAAATGCACAGTTGGGCGCGTTTGATTGGGTGATAGAAATGACTGTACACCCGTGTCTTCAACCGCTTGGCTGGGGTATGGCCCGCGCGAAATTGGCATTGCAGGCAGACCAGGTGCATTGACATTCCAAACCGCATGCGATTTTAAAACAATGACGAGTCGGTTTGCGATTCGTCAGCGACGTCAACGCGTTTCACGTTGACCAATGAAAAATACAGTAAAAATCGCACTAGGGCGATTGGGGTTGAAGACATTGTACGTTATATGGTGTTTTCACGCGTCACAAACGCTTTGAGACATAAATGTCGACGCAGGAATGTACCCTTAGACTTTGACATGTACTGATTCTGTACTGGATGTGTTACACACGTGGACGTGGCCCTGGCAGCGCACCTTGCGGAGCAGACGCGGATGCGCCTCACCCAACGCTACCTCCGTGTCCCCGAAGGACACACATTCGGCTATGGCGACAAGATGCATCTGCCAGCCTTCATCGCTGCACATGGGAAGGCAGACAAGCGGAAGATGCGCGTGGAAGGGGTCGATAGTGAGGGGACCCCAGCCTCTCATGTGTACGAGCTGCACGAGCGAGATCTGCTCGGTCATGACTCGGACAGGGACGCGACGGCGTACTACGAGCTGTCCATCAAGTTTGTGCGGGCGGTTGAGCACCACCTCGAGAAGCGCCTGCGGGATTTATCTAACCTCGACGGCTCAAAGCTTTTCATGTCATTAAAGTACCTTCACGATGATGACAAGCGTGTCGCGGCCTTCAAGCGCTGGCTGAAGCAGCTCCATGTGCTCTTCCGCAAGTCTCTGCCCAGTTTGTGCCCGTCTCGTCTTATGATATTTGATGTTGTTATGCACACTCATGAATGTCAGATCTAGTTGTTGTAGCTTGCACGTGGCCTGCTTCACATGACTTGTTCTCTTGTTAAATCCACAACATCTTCCCCCCCCTCCCCTCCCCTCCCCACGTTAATCTGCCGCCTTCTACTCCTTTGAGAATCCCGTCCCTTATGCCTCAGGCTTCAACTACACGAACGCTGACACTGAGCTTTGGATGTTTACCTTGACTATGCATTCCCAACACCACGATGAAGATCTCCATCAGGCGCTCAGCCACACTCTGCGCGACAACCAGTGGCAGCGCAACTACCCCAGCATCATGCTCCTGTGGCAAGCTGTCGCTGTGCTACCTCTAAGCACAGTGGAGTGCGAGAGGGGGTTCAGCAAGCAAAACATTATCAAAACGTGGGGGCGAGGGAGCATCTCAGACACGTCATTGGGACACCTTATGCGCTGCTCTCTCCTCGAGTACACCACGGACTGGTTTGATGTCGCACGGCTCTTCCGTGGCGACAGAGGCAGGCTGCCAATACGAGACTTCATTGGCACCAACCCAAGTGACACACAGTTTAACCCTCCAGCAGTCCCTGACACAACTGCAAGTGTATAGGAGGCGGGACCCGATAATGTGTGAAGTGGTTATGCCTGGTTAGTTGTGGTTTATCTAGAGTAGCACGTAGGGAAAGTATGTGCCTTTTGAAATCAGTTTTTGCACTTGCAATCGGCTATTTTAAAAAATACCCTTACACACATGCTACTGGCCAAAACACATTTATTTGCATTGGGGTTTTTTTTTTTTGCCCTAATTGTCAGTCTAAGGAGCCTAGGGGACCCTGATATGGCAGGGTCCCCCAAAACCAATGTTGGGCCCTATAACTTCCTCTCTATCTGGTCGAACCCGAGAACTTTCACAAAAACCTCAAGAAGCCTTAGGGAGGGTTGAGTTACGGTAACCACCCCGCCCTAATGAATCAGTTACTACCGTAGTGTTTTGCTTGTACAGTTGTCTTGTAACTATATGTTTTCCCTAAAATAATAAAATTGTCAAATTGTATATTTGTGTTCTATCTAGGCTATAGTGGGTTAGCCTACAAGGAGTACAACACTTTAGGGTTAGTACTTGTACCCAACTCATTCATAGTTCATTCATTCCTTCACAGTTGATTCTGAAATGGTATCAGAGCAGGAAACCTGTTAGGTTTTTCGGGCCCACTGATCGTTCCGCTAGTTCGTGCCTGAAGCGCCCTTGCGCTGACTGGCCCTCTTGCACAGTGTCACGCTGCCCTGCAGCTACTCGCACTGCCTGCCCTAGCGCGCTGACCTGCTGTCACGCGCACCCCTGCTGCCCGCGAGGAGCCCCTGCCCCGAGCGCCCCTGCTGCCCGCGTGTAGCCCCTGCCCCGCGCTTCCCTGCTGCCCGTGAGCAGCCCCTGCCCCGCGCGCCACTGCTGCCCGCGAGCAGCCCCTGCCCCAAGCGCCCCTGCTGCCCGCGAGCAGCCCCTGCCCTGTGCGCCCCTTCTGCCCGCGAGCAGCCCCGCAGCCCAGCGCGCCCCGCAGCCCTAAATGCGCCAGCGCGCCCCGCAGCCCAGCGCGCCAGTGCTCCCCGCTGCTAAGCGCACCAGCGCGCCCGGCAACCTTGCTGCCCAGCAAAAAAAAAGCCCTAGCGGGCCCTGCTGCCCAGCGTGCTGCTGTTGCACACGCTGCTACTGCTGCGCTGTGCCCTGTCGAGCAGTGCTGCTCAGCGCGAGCCGCGCCGCTCTGCCCGAGCCACGCTGCCCTGCCCCTACTGTCCTACTGTTGCTTCAACTACTACTGCTGCTCATGATGCCACTGCTGGCACTACTGCTGTTACTGCGCTAGCCTGTGCCCTGCTGCCCACGTACTCTACTGACCTCCACAGTCACTTCAACAGCCGCTACTACTGCCCTTTCGCCGCTGCTACTGACTGCCACTGCCTGTCATGGCCACTATCACGGTAGTCGCAGCGGCTAAGGGTGGACAGCAGCAGCCACTGCCTCTCCCAGACACGCTATCCCCGCAGCAGCGAGTGGGTTATTCAGCGAGCCCGTCCAAGTGGTGGAGGCTTCGGTTTTCTGCGTACTGCACAGCGGCGGCAGCAGAGTCAGCAGGAGACCTTCTCTCCGCAGCTGCTTAGTGAGTTGGTTTCTCTGCAATGTGTCCCTGGTTCTGTAGAGGCTGCTGCTCTAGATGCTAATTAGTCTGCTGCCGCTCCAGGTGCTAGTGAGTCTACTGCAGCTTTAGGTGCTCGTGCGTCTACTTCCACAGGTCCTGCCTCAGCTGAGGCCTTGCACACTTCCACACATGTTCGTGCTCGTCGTGTCGCCCATCCTCGTCCCCCTGCTGTCCCAAGCACTCACAGTATGGCACTTCGTCCTTCATCTGTTCCACAGCGTGTTGCCCTGCCTGAGCCTCCCACGTCCTCTCTTCCGCACGTTACTGACCTTGAGAACGACCTTGCTCGTGTTGCCAGTCCTACTGTCACTCGTCTCCTCGCTACTGTTGTCACTGACCCTGACTTTGAGTCTACTGCTGAGTTAGCCCTAGTCACTGAGCTAATCGACTTTGCAGCTAGGAGTCGTCTCGACTATGTCGCGAGTCTTGTTACTGAGTCTGAGTCTATCTGTCCTTCGTCCGTCGGGGGTGAGCCTGCTTTTAGCTGTGACGTCCTTGAGGACAGGCAGTTTGAGCTTGAGTGTCTTGCGGCCGCTTTACCTCGTTTTGCATCCATGCTGCTTTGCCCTGAGGGAGACCCGGATGCACTTCGCATCCCTACCCCGCGCTCTAATGCTGAGGTGATCGCGGGTGAGTACTCCTCTCCGTGGCAGACCTCCATTGACGCAGAGATGGCTTCCTGGAAGTCCACAGGCACCTACCTCGACGAGGTTCTTCCTCCTGGTGCGAACATAGTCAACCGCCGGGTTCTCCGCCTGCCTTCAAAGTGAGTTACGTTGCTCGAGGCTTCAAACAGCGACAGCGGGTCGACTTCTTCCAGACCTTCTCCCCCACCCCGAAGATGACTACTCTTCGGGTGTTGCTGCACGTTGCAGCACAGCGTATGTACGAGCTGCACTCCCTCGACTTCTTCAGAGCTTTCTTGTGTTGCACCTCCAGTATGTTTGTGTTCTCTCAAGACTATAGAGGGTTAGCCTACAAGGTGTGCAACACTTAAGGGTTAGTACTTGTACCCAACTCATTCATATTTCATTCATTCCTGCACAGTAGATTCCAACAAAAATATAGCCAGAAGTCAGCTTTCGTCACATAAATTAGGTAGCTCCAACGATATATAAGTACGTAGGTGCAACATACAGTGCTTACACGGAAATGAGGGTCTTAAATGTTTGATATCAACGAAGGGTCCCCAACAGGTAGGACAAAAAAGCATTCGGCCCTCGAATGAAAGACCCCTAGGACACTTATATTGGTGGGTCATTTATCCCGGAAAATATGGTATCATGCATTCACATTCACAGCATACAATAGCGCTCCCACTTTCAATAAACATGGGAAGTGAGCAAGTGTGTTTCCCCGAGCGGAACAACTGGAAAAAAAGCCTTTCACGCAGAATATCACGATGCGAAAGAACAAAACACGATGCTATGCTATGCATATGAGTACAAACAAGGGGGCACACATTACAGGGGGCTAACACACTAATGAGATTGCTACTTGCTGTCAAGCAGCAGCACATCTCCTCCACCATTGGGAGCCAGGCCAGCCTATTTTCCATCCTCCCATTCCTCCCCCACCAGCAGAATTACTCCTCTGGGGCGTCCTCTGCATACAGGCAAGAAACAGGGAGAAGCGGGCAAAGCGGGAGGGACGAGGGGGAGCGGGGGAAGGTGGGGCACTTACTAACGTTTGACCCTGATCAACCAGTGGAGAGGAATGCAAGAGAGAGTCAAAAGAGAAAAGACAGGCAGCACTGTTACTGGAGAGAAATACAGAAGAGAGTGTAAAGAGAAGGAGCGGGAGTGTAATGAAGGAGAGAGAAGCAGCGTACGCACCAGTGGCACAGCGAGCAGACTTCACTGATGAGGCAATCGCCTTCGACCTGCCCACGTGGGAGGGTCATGCAAGGGGGCGCAATGAGGCGCAGCAGTGGGTAAGTCAGGGAGGGGAGGAGTGTGTGGGTGGGAGAGTGAGTGAGTGTGAGCGAGAATGTGTGTCTGTGTGTGTCCTTCGCACTCCCCCTCGCTGCCCTTGCCCCACTCACCCCTGTGTGCCCCACTCACCCCTGTGTGCCCAACTCATCCCTGTGTGCCCAACTCACCCCTGTGTGCCCAACTCACCCCTTGCCCTTCACGAGAGTGTCCACGGCCGTTCCCTTGCAGTCCGGCGCAGCAAAGAACTGGATCTCCTTGCATGCCGCCTTCCCCGCCTGCTGCCATGCCACCTGCACCTTCTTCTTCCCGCGCCCCGCCCCGCCCCGAATGGCGACACAGCGGGAGGAGGTGAAGGCAAAGGAGCGCCCCTGCACCTTCATCCTCGTACCCACCACCGCCACTCGGGTGCCACGGGTGCTGCCTTTGCCACGAGTGTTGCCTTTGCCAGGGGTGCTGACATTGCCACGGGTATTGCCTTTGCCACGGGTGTTGCCTTTGCCTGGGGTGCTGCCTTTGCCACGGGTGTTGCCTTTGCCTGGGGTGCTGCCTTTGCCACGGGTGTTGCCTTTGCCTGGGGTGCTGCCTTTGCCATGGGTGCTGTCTTCGCCAGGGGTGCTGTCTTCGCCGGCGGTGTTCTCATCGCCAGGGTTGTTCTCATCGCCAGAGGTGCTGTCTTCGCCAGGGGTGCTGTCTTCGTCAGGGGTGCTGTCTCCCTCGTTTCCCGCCTCCTTCACAGCCTCCCCGCCCGCCTCCTTCACTGCCTCGCCGCCCGCCTCCTTCACTGCCTCGCCGCCCGCCTCCTTCACTGCCTCGCCGCCCGCCTCCTTCACTGCCTCGCCGCCCGCCTCCTTCACTGCCTCGCCGCCCGCCTCCTTCACTGCTTCGCCGCCCGCCTCCTTCACTGCCTCGCCGCCCGCCTCCTTCACTGCCTCGCCGCCCGCCTCCTTCACTGCCTCGCCGCCCGCCTCCTTCACTGCCTCGCCGCCCGCCTCCTTCACTGCCTCGCCGCCCGCCTCCTTCACTGCCTCGCCGCCCGCCTCCGTTGCTTTCTCAGATAGGACATTGCTGGCCGCGTCTGCTGCCTGCTTGTTGCTGTCAGGCAGGACATTGCTGGCCGCGTCTGCTGCCTGCTTGTTGCTGTCAGGCAGGACATTGCTGGCCGCGTCTGCTGCCTGCTTGTTGCTGTCAGGCAGGACATTGCTGGCCGCGTCTGCTGCCTGCTTGTTGCTGTCAGGCAGGACATTGCTGGCCGCGTCGGCTGCCTGCTTGTTGCTGTCAGGCACGACATTGCTGGCCGCGTCTGCTGCCTGCTTGTTGCTGTCAGGCAGGACATTGCTGGCCGCGTCTGCTGCCTGCTTGTTGCTGTCAGGCAGGACATTGCTGCCCGCGTCTGCTGCCTGCTTGTTGCTGTCAGGCAGGACATTGCTGCCCGCGTCTGCTGCCTGCTTGTTGCTGTCAGGCAGGACATTGCTGGCCGCGTCTGCTGCCTGCTTGTTGCTGTCAGGCAGGACATAGCTGGCCGCGTCTGCTGCCTGCTTGTTGCTGTCAGGCAGGACATTGCTGGCCGCGTCTGCTGCCTGCTTGTTGCTGTCAGGCAGGACATTGCTGGCCGCGTCTGCTGCCTGCTTGTTGCTGTCAGGCAGGACATTGCTGGCCGCGTCTGCTGCCTGCTTGTTGCTGTCAGGCAGGACATTGCTGACCGCGTCTGCTGCCTGCTTGTTGCTGTCAGGCAGGACATTGCTGGCCGCGTCTGCTGCCTGCTTGTTGCTGTCAGGCAGAACATTGCTGGCCGCGTCTGCTGCCTGCTTGTTGCTGTCAGGCAGGACATTGCTGGCCGCGTCTGCTGCCTGCTTGTTGCTGTCAGGCAGGACATTGCTGGTCGCGTCTGCTGCCTGCTTGTTGCTGTCAGGCAGGACATTGCTGGCCGCTTCTGTTGCTTCGTTGGTGCTCGTGTCGACTAATGGATCGCTGCCCATGACTAGGTGAGCTGCGAGGGGGGTACAGAAGAGGAACAAACGAAAAGAGGGTGCGCTTGTTTGCACTTTTGAGAGTGTGCGAGCAGGGGTCTGTGAGTGTGAACTGACTGCCATGGGCTGAAAGCATCAAAGTTGTGGTACTCGCCGCACAGAAGGCTCAAGGCGTGTTGACAAAGACGCATAGCACGGGGGGCACGGAGGGTGCAAGGCGCGTTGACGAAGCATGGAAGGAAAAGAGCCTCTTTTTCTCAGAACAGGAGGGGAAGAAGACGTGTTGACAACACGCGTGGGATGAGAAAAGCAGGAGGCGCAGGGGCAAGGCGTACCGGTGAAGAGCGCGACGAGGAAGATGCGAATCACGACCGTCGCACTCCCCATATTCCGCATCCTCGGTGGAGTCCCCATCAGCCGCGCAGCACGCACGTAAGATCACGGAGAGCGAGGGGAGAGGGCAGTGGAGTGACGTGCTACAAGCGCGCTGACGGTGGGAGAGCAAAAGGAGAGGAGCTTCGTTTGGAAGCTCGGCTTGAAAGCTTCGCCGTTTGAAGGGAAGCGGCTGCGATGGACTCTGCTGCTCATCGCTGCTGCTCTCGTCTCCGTTTATACCTGATCGCCTCTCCAACCTCGCCTCACCCATCACTCGCATCGCGTCACACCCTCCGAACCTCTTGTGGTGCATGGGAAATATCCGAGCCGCCTGAACCACCGCGGTCAAGCAGCGCGACGAACGCTGCGATGAGGCACGCTGCGACGAGGCTTAGTGGAATGGCAGAGGCGATGAGGTGAGTAGCCTTCTCTGCTGCACGCAAGCGTCGCTAGTCTAGCGACGAGGTAGTATGAGCGCTAACAAACGCGTTCCCAATGCGCCCGGGAAGGTCGCCATTGGCGTGCGACGATCACCAGAACATTCGCAATTCGCTACTCGCAGCTACTAGTAGCGGAAAACACTAGGCCGTGGCGAAGAGGATTTTAGATATTGCAAGGAACGCGGTCATGGTTAGTGCGACTCCTCCGTGCGGTACATTCCAGCCCGACTTCTGGTTCCACACACTAGATGGATTCGTTGGCCCCGTTCGCCAGAACGCCTTGTGGATATGGAATGAGATCGGGTTGATCGCAGAGATGCGCATGCGACGATGCGGTCAAACGGAAGGAATAATGGAATGTAAGGTTTGGTGGTTTATTGGTTGGTCAAGTTCTTTCACTGCAATAATGTCTAGGTATTCATTCTGGTGTGGAACGATTTGAGGCGGTTGATTTTATGTCCGACTATAGAAGTTGTTTATCGTACTTACCGCGTCAAACCAGCCTGGTTCGAAGTTGGGTTGACCCCCTGAAAACTATTTGTTTGAACGCGTGTGACCCTTCCAGGAGGTTGATTCGTTTGAAACATGATGTTAGGAGATGTTTGAAACATGATGAGTTATAGTCTCACTTACATGTACTATCTAGCGATTAGAACTATGCTTGAACTGCAATAGAAGTGACTTGACAACTGCAGATCAATTACATCGAATAAATTGACTCCCGACACGAGCCCAAACTTGCACCACGTCGGATGTGTTACAATAACGAAATGTTACATAATAATTCAGAAAGTGTTACAATCCTAAATATGACTTAGCCAAGGATTTGCTCAAGGTTGATCGCAGGTGATTTGTTGCAGCGGAATATATGTTGGAAACAATCGGTCTTAAGCGCCTCTGTCGTGTCGAAACACCAAGACACAAGCGAAGCAAAGTATATCGAGGCACCAGCGAGTCAACCCTCGGAGGTTGAAGCAACCGCTGGAGGTTACGGGGAAGTCAAAGGTCAGCGACCTTTGACCTGACGAATACAGCGCGACAGCAAGGACACACAACTGACTCGCTACAGAGCAGTTGCCCGAGTCGTCACTGTATCGAACCGCAACAACAACAGTAAAGTAGTTACAACCGTACCTCTTTGTATTCCTTGTACTCTTATATAATCTTGTATCTCCTTGTTTTAATCAATCTACTTTGCCCTCACATACTAGCGCAAGGTGGTTCACAATACTTCATTGAAACGCTTCCGCTATTAGATCAGTCCTACTCAGAGTTCATCCCTGCAAAGATCCTAAAGGCTTTTCTCAGCCCAACATGGTATGAGAGCAGTCAGGGAGAATTCAACCTCTACTGAATTACCGACAACATCAACAGACATGGCTACACAAAAGGAAAGGAGCCCCTCCAACGGCTCCCAGGGTACTACTCCTACTCCACCTCCTGCCTCTGGCCTACAGACAGAGGAGGGCACGGCAACAAGACCCAGGGAAACATCCACCGAGACTCCTGCGAATCAACCTGCAGACTTCGACCAGAGCATGATGGAGAAATTCTTCTCCTTCATGTCCTTCTACGAGCAACACCAGCAATCGGCACCTGCGCAGTCACACAACAGCAACAACAACGGGGCAACTCCCATGAGTCTCGACGGCTCATCATACGCACGAGGAAATCAACAGCAGCAGCCTACCTTTGCTCCGTACGAGCGCGGGTCCATCAGCTTTATGCCACACCCGCAGCCTCCACCTGGACAAGAAAAGTCACTGGACGCATTACAAGTTCAGTCGCAGTTCGCGCATGTTCTGAAGATGCAGACATCAAGACCTTTCGATGGAAAGGATTTCTTCACCTGGTCGTTTGAATTCGAGTTAATGATGGAAGGCGCGCAGATACTTGGCTTCTTCGACGGGTCCCTGCCATACCCAACGAACGGCACACAGTATGAGAAGCAGCAGTACACCTATCAGTCGATGATGGCGTACACGATTCTACTGAGGAACATCACCCCAACTCAACAGCAGAATATACGGTCTTACCGGGGTTACGGCAACTCCGCGGAGCTCGCGTACAACCACTTGAAGAGCCTGTATCAAGCAACAGACAGCGTAAATCAAAGTCGGTTAATGGCGCAACTGACAACGGTCGAAATGAAACCAGGCGAGAAAGGAATGGCGTATATCAGCCGATGTCGCGAGTTGCGCGACAAGCTTCTTCGATGCGGGGGGTCGATTTCTGAAGACGCCTTCGTGACAGTCATCATTGGCGGCCTCGGTCCTCAATGGCGCGCCACAAAGGCCATTCTCCGAGCTCACGGAAGAATCTCCGAAGCAGCACTCTGCGCCGAAATCCATGCCGAACAACAAGACATGGACCTGCAAGAAGAACGACACAAGAAGAAGACATCAGCACCGGAATTTGCTTTCCACACTCAGCGACGCTACAACAACAACAAACAACAACAACCGAAGCCCGTACCTCCGTTCTGCCACATCTGCAAGACGTCGGGACACCCGCGCACGCACTGCCCGAATCGACAACAGTCAACGCCTTCACAGCGGCAGCTTCGACCTTCAAGCAATCAAGTTGCCTCAACACAAGCAAATCCTACGACCCAGATTAAAGCCTCAACGACTTCAACAGGACAACCTGCACAAGGAGCAAGGAACATCGTCAGTTGCATGGCAAAATTGACCGATTCCTGCATCACCGAGTCACCGACACACTACTCACCGGAAGAACAACTCGACAACACCACACCTCGCCGCGAGTCATTTCAACTGAATCCAACGTACGCAGCCATCGCCCAGAGCGAGCCATCCGGGAAAGACACCTGGTTCTTGGACAGTTGCTGCGGACAACACATGTGCTCCTCAGGACGCTTCGTGCAGCAGGAATACCAACTCCAACGCGAAGTAGTCATCACCGTCGCCAACAACCAAAACCTGCGCACACGACGACAAGGAGTGGTTCAACTTCATGTTATGGTCACAATAGGCTTGAATGTGCCTAAAACGAAAGATAGAGAGCACAGACAGATTTCTGCACAGCGGCTTCAAACGTTGATAGCGTTCTGCTCACAGCTGCAAATGACTTGATTCAAATTGGATCTGGAGCGTCTTCACGTCGTCTACAATTATCAATTTAGATTGCACGATTTGATAAAGAATTGACGACACAGCGTCGGTTTGAACGAACGGTACTATGGCAGCCACTATAGTCTTAGAACACAAGATAGGAAGAGTTACGAGTTGGGAATGACTCCCAGCTCCTACAAACCCCAAGAGCCGAGGTACAGTGATGTGGAATAGTGCCACACTGTCCCCAACCACGAAGGGTCTCGAAACTACCCTGCACTAGGGCCTACACCAAGTGAAATGTTACACTACACAAAGTAATGTAACTATCTTCAATATCTTGAGGTGTACCCTTTTTGGCGAGCTTCGAAATCACTTGAGGCTTGACACCAAGGCTCGGGCTCTTCATCACAAACTCATCCTTGAGTTCTTGATGGGTCTGCTGCACACACCTGCGACACGCCGAACGTTCGACACAGGACAAAATAGAAACCGCGCACGACAAAATAGAAACCGCGCGCGAGACACAAACGACCGCGTAACTCGCGTCTAGCGATAACTCGCTATTGACTCGACACACACACTCGACATCATGACTCAACATTCACACACAATTATAAGCATGAAATATATATTATCCCATGCCCTCATACCATTCCATACACACACACATTCACGCACACGGACAACAAGCCGAGTGCAAACCGTAGGGTTGCACCAACAAACTCCCCCTCGGATTGTTGGCCTTAGGATATGTTGCTCTCTCAGTTCAGAGCCATCCCAGCCAGCTTGCAACACTTCCAATGCTGCTGCTCCACCAGCCTCTTGGTCATCATGTCAGCCGGCTGCCCCGTGGTCTTCACGTAGCGCAACTCAACTTCACCCGCGGTTACCATGCTCCTCGTCCAATGCCACTTCACCCTCATGTGCTTCGTGAGTCCATGCAACACAGGGTTCTTAGCAAGAGCAATGGCACCCTGGCTGTCACAGTACAGTGGGGTAGGTCCTTGCTGCTCCTCCCCCAATTCAGCCAACAAACGCCGCTGCCACACAATCTCCCGTACGGCACGGAAGAGTGCCATGTACTCGGACTCCACCGAGCTCAAAGCTTGGTCAACCT